CCATCATAACAGTTCCAGAAGTGACTCCAGCATTAGAAACAAGTCCTGGGAAAGTGATTCTCCTCATGTGATTCCAAACTTCTCTTCCATTCAAATACGCATTCTCATTTCCAGTTTCGTTCATTGTAGCACGTACTGCAAGTGCGTACAACCTCAGTGCATCGTAGAGATGAATGTATCCGTATATATTTTTCTGCAAAGTATATCAATTGAAAGATTAGTGTCTCTTTCGAACATACCATTTCCAAATCGTCAGTCGAATATCCGTTTGCCTCTAACTTTTCCTTGAAAGGCGTGACTAATGTATTATCGAAGCCGTTGACGTCATCAATCTAAATCATGAAATACTTTACAGTAAAACCCGTAATATAAGTGCCCCTAACTTTTAACTTTGAGATTATATAGGTCAAAAGTTTATATAGGTCCCTGTCAAAGATATCAAAAAGTTGTCAACAATTGTCTATTCAAAATAATCGCGCGGGTAAACGAGTAAAAAACCCTGCGTCTCTACAGCGCCTCTACAGGTTTGGACACTCTCTACACGTTTTTTAATCGTTCACCCGCGCGACTATTTTGAATAGACAAAAATAAAATGTGTATGATAATATCACAAACATTTTATCAGTTGACACCTTTTGTATATCTTTCACAGAAACCGAGATACCGTATTTCCTCTAATAATAGCCCATGAGCTTATCAACCCCAGGGTGGTTCTAACAGAAAAAGGGCTTCAATTACAGGGGTTTCGGATCTGAACGGAGAAGAAGAATTTAACAAACGACTAGAATTAACGGAAATTACCATAAAATTAAACAAAAATAATATTTCTGCAACAACCGAGAAAACAGGCATTAGCTCAAAGTTGAAAGTTAGGGGGCCCTTCTAATACAGGTTTTAGTATTGCTTGCAATTGTACTCACAATGAATGCATTTGCAAAGTGGTCCTTAACATTCTGTTGATATTCTCCATCGTCTCCGAGCCATGGTGCGGCATCCTTTGTTTCAATTTGAAGCCACGGTAGAATCCATGCATAATTGGCGTTATTCATTCCGGACAGAGTGACAGCTTGCATGAATTCTTTTGTCATATCTCGAGTAGAAGAGAAGGCACAGACAACGACTGGAATGGTTTCAGACTAGTCTCAGTTTATGATGCTAACCTTACCTCGTGCACTATTCTCCAGTTCCTGGAGCAATCCGCTGTTCATGATAGCCTTAGCGTTAGTATACTCATCAAGCATGATCTTCCTCACAACGTTAACTCCTCTCTGATGGAAAACTTCTTCAAACGCTTGAATTCTTTCAAATGCCACTGCTCCTGTATTTGTTGCAATCGCCACTTTATTCCATCCATAATGTTTTATCAATGCCGCTGCTGCTTCTGCCAGAGAGTTTGTAGTTCTTAACGATACTCGAGCTAGGGTTTTGAAAATGGATTTATCTGCGAAACTGTTCGAAGAAGCCATGTAGCCAACAATCGGAACATTCCAGAATGTCGCCATTTTGGCAACAGCATCAAGTTCTGCGTTACAGTAAGGTCCAATAAATGCACGAACTCCTTGAGCATGATACATATCTGCTCCAACAGCTACACCTTCATAAGATTCACCACATCCCATTTGGTTTAGAATTCTGAGAGATTGTAAAAAATATATTTTCGAAATAACAAATGAGCTCTAACTCAATCTGAAAATCATCACCAAGAACACCTTCCTGAATCAGTTGTTCTTTCGAGAGTTGCAAAATCTTTTCCGAGTTTTTCATTGCTCCGACTGCTCCAATATGAGCCACTTTCACCTGCAGATTTTTTTTGAGAAGAATTGAAATAATGAACTAACCTTGATAGCTAAACATTCTTGCGAAAAGAAGAGGAGGAATATTAAGAGCAGACGCATTCAATGTCGTAAGAAGAAGGAATGACTAATATCTGCCAATCAGTGGGAGTGACTTCTTTCTCATCAACACTGGATTATCCGTTACAAGGAGTCTTACGATTCTCATGTAATCCTAACACAAAATCTGAATCGGAGTCAGATACTTAATCTCGCGATGAGTCGGATAGATTACTTGATTGTTTACAGTACGAAAATATGTGAAAAACATTAAAAACTGAATACTGGATAAAAATGCTCTACTTGATTAACAAAATATTTCGAAATCAATGGTTCAGAAAGAAAACAACATATTTATTAGTCTGCTACAAAAAATTGGAGTTGTGGAAGAGGAACGTTGGTGACCGTGGCCGACGGTCCCACAACGAAACGACAATTACAGTAACCTGAAAATATTTTTATATTCCGGATTTATTTTTTTGATTTTTGTGCGTTTTTCAGTCAATTTTTCCGGCATCATACAGGCGAATGGGTGAATATGAGACTACAAAAACTATTTTTGGGTTTTCAAATATGCTTTTGTCTGATAGAAGACATTTGGAAACTCCAAAAAAAAAGTTTTTGAAAAAAAAATTAAAAATTGGATTTTCTCGAATTTCAGAATGTGTTCTATATGAGAAAAAGCATATTTGAAAGCCCTAAAATTTTTTTGTAGTCTGAAATTCATCCATTAGCCACGCTTTCGAAATGTCTGCTCTCGAAATAACTAGTTTCGAAGTGTCGCGGCACTGAAAAATCATGAAAACCGAGATAACAAATCCGGAATCAAAATATTTTCAGGTTACTGTAGTTGACGTTGTGGAACCTTCTGCCACAGCCACTTTTGCCGATTTTTTTGTCCGAGAATAATAGAATAGCGAAGAGAAAAAGCAACTGAAAACCGTAATGAGTTTCGGTCCGTATCAGCTAGCTCATTTCCACAGTTACAGTACCCCTGAATTCTCGGTATATTCGTTTCGTCGCTTGTTTTCTTGCAGAAAACGGTTTCGAAGAAGGTTGTTTGTGGAGTTTCTATAACGTCATCAACAGGTTTTCAGTATCCAAGGACTCCATCTCTAGTTTCGACACATATAGTTAACTTTTTTCGTAAACAAGCTCAGTTCGAGGTGCGTGACAGTATGTTTACGAACCAGTCAACAAATTTTTCTCCGACCTTGATTGTCAGTAGGGGTACGGAACGGTTCAGGGACGATTTTCGAATTGAAAAGTGAAATGAGAGGAGTGACTAGATAAGGAAGCGTATTCTCTATGTTCGCATTCATTCCGGTATGAGCGACCGAAAGAACGGTAAGAATTATTTCAAGTATTTTATTATTTTATCGATTTGCAGAGCTGGTCGCAGTTGTGATTGACATCGATGGTGACAAAAGGAAAATGGTAGAAGATATTGCAGACATCGTTTTACGAAGAGTTTTGGAGGAAGAAGAAGAGAACGAAGTGGGTTGAGAATTTCAAATGCGAATTGAGTTTCCCCTTTCAGTCATCAACACCTATGGATCTCGTACATCTAATTCAACCTCAACCGATTCTTCTCCACTTTCAGTAAACCAACTTCTGAGTTCATCGTTTTCCTCTCAACTTACAACTACCCAACCTCATTGGAATCCTTTGCAATTGGCTCTTTGTCAATCACTCATAGCTAACAACCCTGCTCAGCTTCCCCTTTTCGGCGCTCAGTCCCCACTGTTTTCATTATTCACTCCACCAGTACAGCCTGCCGTGGAACCTGTTGAATTGTTGAAAATATTTCAAATTATTCTAGAAAAACAGAGGAAGTGATTCGTTGCGGCTTCTCTTTTCATCTCTCACCATCGTCATACAGTTTTTTTAACACCAAGATGTCATGATGTTGTTTAGAATGAATGATTTTCTTCTGGCATTTGACAAAATGCGCCGAATACAGAACTAACTCGAAATTAATTTAGAAGAGATTCATCCCAGTTAGGGGTACAAATTCAACAAAAATCCCATAGAGAAATGCAATTTGACTTGGAAACAATTCATCGGTGTATGCCAGATATCTGCAATACGGGGCAGTTGGAGGGAATCAAAAACAAGTGAGAAAAATAAATCAAAAAGTGAACAATGAGATAGTGTTTTATGCCTTCTTGGCAGCTGGCTCCTCTTTCTTGGCTTCCTTCTTCTTCTTTGGCTTGAGGGCGGATTTCAGGACGGTTTGGAGATCAGCGTCTTGAACGGAGCGTTCCGATTGGTAGACATCGGAGTCGAATGGAAGTCCGGCGATTTTGAGGAGACCGTTTGGCATGACGAGTACTGTAGCCTTGAATTGAGCAACAAAGTCTCCTTCCTTCTCATAAAGAACCTGTAATAATAGAAAATTACTTTCCTTCCTAATTAAAGTCGAACATACTGGATATGGAGTTAGAAGACCATACTTCTCGCACTCCACAACTCCCATCTTTGCCTTGACTTCTTCCTCGAAGCTACGGAGAGAGAATGGCATTGGTCCGTGCTGAAATAAGAACAAATTATAATTCGCAATGTCTATAGAAACATACCTGTTTGTTGACATCGGAGAAGAATACACGAGAAGCCTTCATCTTGAGTTGATAACTGACTGATTCGTTCTTCTTGTATACGGTTGTTCGGGTATCCATATCCTTTGGTTGTCCCTTTCCAGTGGAGAAAAGGATATCGATAGCATAGGCCTCATGCTTGTCAATTGTGACCTTTTCAACTTCACCCTTTTGCTTTTCTCCTGAGTTCTGGATGATCTTCTTTTCTCCTTCAATTTCGTTTCTCTCGAGTTGATGGGAAAGCATGTTCTCGATTGGAGTAAGTCCGAATTCGGAAGCAGTTTTGTCGATGTTCCTGGTAACGTCAGTGTTGGACGCTTCTGGTCGGAGAGAACGGATGGCGATTTCCAAACCATCGTATGTTCCACGAAGAAGATCAGCAATCTTTCCGGTGACTTTGTTGTCTTTCGATGCTCCAACAACGACAGTATGCGCAGCAGTGGCGATGAAACCGTCGATATGAACTCCAAGGTCAATCTTGACTACCTGTCCGTTCTTCAATACAACTGGACCTTCGGATTTCAGGGGGGTGAAGTGGCAAATCACATATCCACTGAAATGCACGTTGGCATAGCAATACCCTTTGTGAAGTTCTTTTCCTTCTTGTAGAGCTTGCCAGTTCTTTCCGAAATCATTTTGTCTCCGATGTCACAGAGATCTCCAACGACTGCACCTTCTTTGATGTTGGCGATCACTTCCTAAAGTCGAAAATTTGAGATTCGAATACAGACCAATGTAAAATTTACCTTGAGGACTGCATTGGTGATCTCAGCAGCAACTTGATACTTTGTGACGACGGCGTCATTGGAAAGAGTGTGGTCTTCATGATCGTGGCTACCATTACTGCAGCAGCTGCTCTCGCTGTCCTTTTTAACCATGGTTATTTATCTGTAAACAAATTTCGTTATCACTGCCTGCTGGAAGGTACTCACAAAGTAGCGAGGTTTTGAAATGTGTATAGAAAACTAAAGGCTACTCGGAAATGAAGAATCGGAAATATATCAAAAAACAATTTGAGTAAAAATTTGTACAAAAATTTAGCATTCTACTTTGTCGGAGATTGTTTGAAAAACTTTACTGGCGAAACCAGAGAGAAAATTAGCAAAACGTTGTTGTAAATTAATATATTCATTTCAGTGTGCAGTCAGTTAAACTGTTATACCTAAATCTTTGTTTTAGAACTTTGTTTATTTTAGCATGAGTTCACAATATCACTTTAGTTTTAACAAATCAAGCGGTTTTTAGGAATTGTTCAATTTTAAGTGAAAGTTTAAAATCAAATTTACAAAAATTACAGTTTAGAAAAATTAAAGTTGCGAAGAAATATTCGGAGAAAAGGGGGAAACATCGAAGTTTTATTCAAAATTCCTTAAAGGCGCATGATGTTTCTTACGAAATCGCGCCGAGACCCATCGGTGTCGATGGAGCGCGTCTTATNGAAGACGGAGGCCCATCGGAGACCCCGGAAATTCCGGGGGAACAAAGCCACCGGAGAAAAGTGGGCTCCGCCCCCGACTCCGCCCACTTTTCTCAGGAGTTTTTTTCCCCGGAGTTTCCGAGGTCTCGGCGTATCGAATTCGGCCGAATTCGGAGGAAAAGTTGTTTAAAAATTATTTTAAACGAAAAAAAACACGAGCAAACAGTAAAAAACAAATTTATATGTCATCAACAACCTCATCGTTACAATATAATAGTTGTGATTTTTTGACATTAATGACTGAAGCAAATTAATTTGTTGTGTTGCTTTCTACTTTTACTTCAACCGGTTTTCGTCCTGGGACTATAAACTGGCAATGACAAAGTTATTGAATTATGAACACTCAAAATACAGAATTACAAAGTTGGACAGCAGAAAGGACAAGGGCTTGGATACGGTAAACGACTACTGTAACAATGGATTTTCACGACAGGATTGATATTTACGTTTTGATTAGGTTCCAAAATAAATAACCTTTTTTACAACATCTCCCTGTCGAGTAGTATTACGTATGTGGCTTCCTTGATTCCCAACCTTCTTCAAGATTACCAATCCTTCTATTCGATCCTCCAGGCAGAATAGAACCTTCAGAGAAACTGATTCAAGTTTGGAAAATACTTGGATAGCCATCAAACCAATGTTCAATCTGATTACGTCTGTTGACAAACCATTTCAACTACTATTCAAGATGTAACACGAAATCCCTTATATCTGAGATGTTTAATCAATATCAATTCTCAAAATTTCTACCAAATTTTGTTATTGTATACATACTCTCTTGGTGAAGGACAATAGCACGCTTCAACTTCAACTCATAAGAGAGACATACTGGTGGCCGAACTTATGATTTCTAGTCCACCACCGGCATCTACCCTTGTCTGTGTAATAAACGCGCCCCATGGTCATTGACTGGGTCTTGCCACGATTGCTTCATAAACATCATGCGCCTTTAGTAGGTTTTGAATTAGAAACTTTTTTGATCTATCTTTAATATCAAAGAAATGCAAACACCAAACATTTGATGTTTTGGAAATTTAATCTTTATCTTAATTTAATAATGAAATGCTGATCCAGGAGTAACTTTGACACTAAATATGAGTTTTCCAACTTTAGGATTGACCAGGTGTACCTTATAAAGTCTTCATGATTATTCTAATGAATTGATAATTTTTCATTTCATAGAACTTTTCAGTTTTCAGATAAACAAAGATGGTTAGAAAGGATAGTGAGAGCAGCTGCTCCAGCGATGACAGCCATAACCATGAGGACCACACTCTGGCCAATGACGCCGTCGTTACAAAGTATCAAGTGGCTGCCGAGATCACCAATGCGGTCCTCAAGGTAAATCATACATTGGTTTGTTTTCGAATCTCAATTTTTCGATTTTAGGAGGTGATCGCCAACATCAAAGAAGGTGCAGTCGTTGGAGATCTCTGTGACATCGGAGACAAAATGATTTTGGAAAGAACTGGCAAGCTCTACAAGAAGGAAAAGAACTTCACAAAGGGTATTGCTATGCCAACGTGCATTTCAGTGGATAATGTGATTTGCCACTTCACCCCTCTGAAATCCGAAGGTCCAGTTGTATTGAAGAACGGGCAGGTTGTCAAGATTGACCTTGGAGTTCATATCGACGGTTTCATCGCCACTGCTGCGCATACTGTCGTTGTTGGAGCATCGAAAGACAACAAAGTCACCGGAAAAATTGCTGATCTCCTCCGTGGAACATACGATGGTCTCGAAATTGCCATCCGTTCTCTCCGACCAGAAGCATCCAACAATGACATTACCAAAAACATTGACAAGACAGCTGCTGACTTTGGACTTACTCCAATTGAGAACATGCTTTCTCACCAGCTCGAGAGAAATGTGATTGATGGAGAAAAGAAGATTATTCAGAACTCAGGAGAGAAGCAGAAGGGTGAAGTTGAAAAGGTCACAATTGACAAGCATGAAGCCTATGCTATCGATATCCTTTTCTCCACTGGAAAGGGACAACCAAAGGATATGGATACCCGAACAACCGTATACAAGAAGAACGAATCAGTCAGTTATCAACTCAAGATGAAGGCTTCTCGTGTATTCTTCTCTGATGTCAACAAGCAGGTATGTTTCTATAGACATTGCGAATTATAATTTTTCTTATTTCAGCACGGACCAATGCCATTCTCTCTCCGCAGCTTCGAGGAAGAAGTCAAGGCGAAGATGGGAGTTGTTGAGTGCGAGAAGTATGGTCTTCTAACTCCATATCCAGTATGTTCGAATTGAATTAGGAATCGAAGTAAATTTCTATTATTACAGGTTCTCTACGAGAAGGAAGGAGATTTCGTTGCTCAATTCAAGGCTACAGTACTCGTCATGCCAAACGGTCTACTCAAAATCGCCGGACTCCCATTCGACTCCGATGTCTACCAATCCGAACGTTCCGTTCAAGATAAGGATCTCCAAACCGTCCTGAAATCTGCTCTGAAGCCAAAAAAGAAGAAGGAAGCCAAGAAGGAGGAGACAGCTGCCAAAAAAGCATAAAATATTTTCACGTTGTTCACTTTTTGATTGTTTCTGTCATTTGTTTGATTTTGCCTCCTACTAACCTCTCGTATTTTAGATGCCTAATGAGTGCATCGAAAAATGGGTTTTATTGAAAATTACATTTCTCTCTTTTTTTTTGATTTTGGTTAAAATTATATTCTTCCGGTTAGAATAAATTCACTATGAATGGGTTTCTCAATTGCCTAACATTTTCATAGAAACTCCGTCCCTCTGGGAGCCATTAATTAGTTTTTTGTTGTGTTGCGAGAGGAAAAAAACGAGAAATCTTTTGACGCTGAACTTTGAATTGCGTAATGAGAGACCGGTAAATGGGGCGAGAGACAGTACACAAGATGTTCCAGCGAAAATACAAACAGAGGGAGAAGAAGAAGCGAAGACAAGCCGATAGACAAATCACAGTGTCTGATTGCTCACTTTTCATTTGTTGGAACATAGTGAAATGTTAGGTTGCCAAGAAAGATATCAAAAATTGGTGAACTGATAAAATATTGATGATATTATGATAAACATTCTGTCAGTTGACTACTTCTCCTTATCTTTCATAGGAAATGAGACGGGCTCAAAATTGAAAGTCTGGCTGGCATATACAAGTTTGCCCTATCCTGTATACGTTTAGGTTTTTATATCTTGGAGATTTATCTGAAAGTCAATTATTTACTTGAACTTGAATCTAGTCTTGAATCTAATGCAACTTTCAAGATTCATTTAAGTTTCCAAAGTATAGAAATTTGATGTTCGAAAAAAAAACCCTTGTGTGTTTTCCAGAAAGATGGGATACCGTAGACGATCTGATATAGTCCCCCCCCCCCCTCCTATACTTGCTCTTTGAGCACATATATCTCGCTTTCTATGAAAGATATCAAGAAGTAATCAACTGATGAAATGTTTAGCATGATGTCAAAAATATTTTGTCAGTTGAGCTAATTTTGCTATCTTTCACAGGAAATTAGCTATATGTGATCAAAGTTGGCGGTTCGGGTTGGCTTCTATTAGAGTGTTTACGGTACTTGGATTCATGAGAAAATTTAGAAAATAGCCTGATTGATTTTAAAATTAGATGGAATTCCTTGAAAGCAATCTAATTTCTGAAATTCTGAAAATTGTGACGTAGAAACGCATAATATATGTTGACAGTCGGCACAAAAAGTGCTCTTTTCTTCCTCGAGTGGCCAATTATCACTGCTTGAGAACCAAAAGATGAGAGATCTTCTCGAGAGCACATCCTGTAAAACATGCATGCTCCGCCTGTCCACAAGTGATAACTTGTTGACACCTTTCTGCGTCTCCTTCCGGAATACACCCTCTCACCAGATAAACGGATAGTATAAAATGGAAATGCGGAAAAACGAAGAATCATTCTAAATTCATTTCAACAATGTGGACCTTCACAGCCTTTTCTTCAATTCTTCTCATTTCTTCTTCTCTCGCTCAGCCAATTTTCCTTCCACCACCGCCATGCTTCGGAGTCGGATGCGCTCCACCACCACCATCGGTAATTTGTGTTTCGTGAAGTTTCTGTGATAATATTCGTTTTCAGTTTGTGATTGGACCTGCACCACCTCCATGTGTTGGAATTGCTTGTGGGCCACCACCATGTCTTGACTGTCCACCACCAGCACCGGTATGTTTGTTAATTGTTGTTTTTGAGAAATGATTGTAAAGTAGGACAGTAGTTCTGTTTGCTCTCAAAACTTGTGCGGCTCAACAACAAGTTCAAATTTTCAGATCTTCGTCGCTCCACCACCTCCACCATGCCTTTCGTTCCCATGCCCACCACCACCGCCATGCGTCGGTGTTGCCTGTGCCCCACCACCACCAATCGTGATCGCTGCTCCACCACCGCCACCACCATGCTTCGGACCAGCCTGCCCACCACCTTGCTTTGGGCCAGCTTGTGCTCCACCAGCTCCAATCATCGTCAATGCTCCAGCCCCACCATGCTTCGGACCAGCTTGCCCACCACCATGCTTTGGACCAGCCTGCGCTCCACCAGCTCCAATCATCGTTAGTGCTCCAGCTCCACCATGCTTCGGACCAGCCTGTCCACCACCATGCTTTGGACCAGCATGTGCTCCCCCACCACTCTTCATTCCACCACCACCAGCTCCAATCCTCTTCGGATCTGTCTCCTGCTGCGCTCCAAACAGTGAGTCTAACAATTGCTTTTCAATTAAAAATTGCATTTTTTCAGACTACTCATGCTGTGGATCTCTCTTCCGTAAGCGTCTCTTTAACAAGCGCTCCGAAAAAGAAACCACAACTGCTGCTCCAACTGAGGAACCAAAGGAAAACTAAATGGAATCTCCAATAGGAACCATTTTCCAATTGTTTGTATATAAGATACTCGCCAAAGATTTCTATAGCTGAACTAATAATATATTTTATTTTCATAATTTTTTTTTGTTATTATAATAAATTGTTTTTTCTTCTCTATCATTTCTGAAATTCTTTTGAAATCTTCTATGGAAAGCACAAAAAAATTGTCTTGCTCTTTGCTGATCTTTCAAAAGCAATCATCAAGTGGATTCGCGGTGTAGCAACAATTTTTTCAAGGAGAGAAACGCGGAAGATGCAATGTGAACAGGCAAAAAGTGTGATTTGGAACTATCTGTAGCGTAGAGAGCTCATAAAAAATCTGGTTGTAGTCTGATTGGAATACAATATTAAATAACTTGAATGTGACATTTATTGTTGAGAATTTTTATTCGTGGCGTTGACGAAAATTCTAGATGAAGAAATTCCAAAAAAGACACAAGGATCCTGAAACAAGAAGTTCTTGAATTCCTAATTATTTGGAAAACTTATAACCATAAGGAAATATTAGTTTTTAGGTATTAAAATACCAAAAGCAATTATCCAGTAAGCATCTCAAAACTACTCAACACATTTTTACCGTAAGTGCTCTAACAGAAGCCCTCCCTATACTTGCATTTCTAACTCAATTATCTCGGTTCTTTCACAGATATCAAAAAGTAGTCAACTGATAAAATTTTTTGTCATTTTCTCAGTAACATGTTATCAATTGACAACTTTTTGATATCTTTCACAGAAACCAAGATAAATTGCATTAAAGTTGTATGGTAGGGATGGCGTTCTATAAGTGTTTACGATATTTCAAAACTACTCAATTAAATTCGAATTACTTCTTACATTTAGAAAACTTTCTAGATGTAATTTAGATCATCACTATCCTACGTAACTCTAGCTACTTATAGAAAAATCTCAACAAAACCAAAAGATCTGGTAGTATATATATGGTGGATCTCTTGTGTTTATTGCTGTCTACAAGATACGGCTGTTGTTTGCTAACAACCTTTCGCTCCGGTTTTTCTTGGCAAGAGGATATGGTCTCTGATTGCTGATGTCCTCTTTCTAGACATCAAGACCTGAAGCCATCGGATTGAAGTTTGTGACTTTGCACAACGGTGTTCGTTTCCGATCGTCGCGTTAAATGAGTCATCATCGTTTAAACAGAGAACCAAAACCAAGCGTTGCCGGATGATTTAGGACTGGATGGCAAAACGCAGAAATGGTATATAAAGCTTGACAATTGTTAATTTCTTATCATCCATTTAGTTTCCAGTCATGCACTCAGCTACTCTCCTTGCTCTTCTTGCTCTGGCTGCTGGAGCATCTGCGCAATGCTTCGGAGGAGGTTGTGGAGGACCAATCTTCCTCCCACCACCACCATGCTTTGGAGGAAACTGTGGATGTTCGGGAAACAATTGTGGACCACAGGTCACTGTTGTCCAGGTCCCGAATAACAACAACGGATGCTCATGCAGCCCATGCTCCGGACCAATCTGTGCTCCAATGTGCAACAGTTGCCCACCACCACCACCAATCTTCATCCAACGGAGCTCATGCTGTAATCAGAACAGTGAGTTCTTTTTTCTTCAAATTTTAGGCTGATAGTTAAACTATTCCAGACTTCTCGTGCTGCCCATTCCGATTCCGTCGTCATAATACTGCTGCTGAAACCATCGAGGAGGCTACGACCGCTGCTCCAACTCAAGAGTAACTCCGATATTACGATGTACTTCCCGATTTTTGTATATACAGTACCCGAACATTTTGCTTAATAAATCAGTTAGAATTTCTATACTTATTTTTTGTTCGAATTTTCAGGAGAGATCATAGCTTGAAGCTGAAACCTAAAAAGTTGGATTCTATAAAATCGTTTGTTTTTGGAGAGCTGGAACTTGGATAAACTGTCAAGATTGCAGTGTGATCATCTCATAAAAAAGTGATAATGTTTCTAAAAAAATTTGGAAGTAAAAAATCATTCAGAAAGAGAATCTGGAAAAATAGGGAAGGTGTACATGGCAACCAAGATATGGAATGTTTATGAAAAATTATAATAGTAATACTTTAGTTCGCCGTCTGTATGGTACTCCAGAGCACAGCAGAAACCGAAATAAGTAATAGTCGCATATTATTTTAAAATTCTTAGTTCCTAAGCGAACGTTTTCGGATGGCGTTTCAGATGTTTTAAAATACCGTGTTCCCTCTGAAAAAAGCCCACCCCAACCGTCAATTTTGAGCTCGTATAGCTCATTTCCTGTTAAAGATATCATCATTTTGTCAACTGATAGATTATTCATCATAATATCAGAAATATTTTACCTGTTGATAAATGGTTGATATCTCATACAGGATTCGAGATAATTAAGCTCAAAGTTGACTTAAGTTCTATATTTTTGAACACATGTGTTTTAAAGGTCCGGTAAAAGAGCATTTCGATTTCATACAATTGCATTCACGTTATTAAAATCAAAATAGCGATTCTCAAAAAATTAGGAATATTCCAAAAATTACAAGTTAATTCATTTCCAGAAACCAAAAATGTTTCAAACATCTGAAAACTACATCTGAATCACCATTGATCTCCATAATCCCTTTTCGATCTATCTCGTCAAATGCCTTATTCGAAGAAACATTCTAACTGACTGATGCTGACATTTGGAACTGAACTCAAATCAATGTAGCGACACAAAGTTTGTGATTCCGCCGGCAAAAGATGCTCCCTCTCGCGGAACTCAAGCGGCATTTTCTCAGTCTCCGCCCACTCATTTCTGCTGATAAAAAGACCTGTCCCAAGGCGGCATGTAGCGGTATAAAAGAGAATACTACCACGTAGCTACCATCCACATTCATTGGCTCCACAGTATGCAATCTACTACTCTTCTTACTCTCCTTGTTCTTGTCGCTGGAGCATCTGCTCAATGCTTCGGAGGCGGTTGCGGAGGACCAATCTTCCTCCCACCACCACCATGCTTCGGTGGAAACTGTGGATGCCAAGGAAACAACTGCGGATGTTCTGGTAACAACTGTGGACCACAGGTCACTGTTGTGCAGATCCCGAATAATAATAACGGATGCTCGTGCAATCCATGCTCTGGACCAATCTGCCCACCAGTTTGCAACAGCTGCCCACCACAGCCAATCTTCATTCAACAACCATCTTGCTGCAACCAGAATAGTAAGCTTTCATAGAACCTTCATAACGATTTTAATTTTTCTAGACTTCTCGTGCTGCCCATTCCGTTTCCGTCGCCACAACACTGCCGCTGAAACCACCGAGGAGGCTACGACCGCTGCTCCAACGCAAGAGTAACTTCGATATTACGATCTTCTTCTTGTGAACCATTGAACTTGTTTTTGTATATACGATTAGATTATTCCTAAATAAAAGATTCCAATTCCATGTCAAAAATTTTATTGGAACATATATCATAAAAGGGACAAAAATTGAACCCTGTCTCAAAAATTCAAAGTTTAAATTTTAGCTCAAGTTGGAACTCCTTCCGCAACAAACCCAAAAATAGGATCAAACTGATATATTTACTTCGAAACGTTCTCTGGGCTCTGAATGAACTCATTGCGGCTTTCAAGTGTACATTGAACGTCGAGAGCCATTGAAGCATGTGAAGTGAACATCCAAACTAGACGGAATCAGACTGTTGTAGTCGTGTTCCACTATTCGCTTTGTTCATCCAGAAAATTATTGTTTGTGCTCACTGAGAATGCCATCGGCTAATAACTTTATTCGATAATTTCTAAACAAAAAAGGTTTTTACAGATAACAGAAGAAAAATATGTTGATTTTGGCAATTAGTTCGTCCGATGAGTGCTGTTACCGTATTTCTTCTAATATTAGGTTGTTCGAAAAGTAATGCGCGTTTTTGATTCATTTAACTTCATGCAAAACTGTAATAAGATAAGATTAATCAAGGGGCTTTTCTCCATCATCATTGACCATTTCCTAGTAATGCATGCTCAAAGTTTCGATGCCTCTGTCAAAGAACTAAGATAGCTGGAAGTCGAAGTAGTTTGCATCAAACGCGCATTACTTTTCGAACAACCTAATAGAAACTCACCCAAACCGTCCATTTTGACCTCACTTATCTTGATTTCTGTGAAAGATATCAAACATTGGTCAACTGATAAAATATTGTTGTTGTTATGATGAATAAGTGGACAAACGTTTGATGTCTTTCACAGGAATCGTTTCACAGGAACAGGACTCAACCATAGAATACAACAGTTAAGCTTCAGAATTAAAAAGTGAAATATTTTGCGAAACTCACAACTAACCACATTGACCATTTTCAGTTAAAAGAATGGTGTGGGGTCATCTACAAAAAGAAGTTATAGAGCCAGTGGCCTTACATTCGGGTTTTGGACGGGTTCTAGTTGCCCAAAGACGGCTGTGTAGCGGACCATGGTCAGATTTTGGTTTAAATTATAAGTTGGAATACTACAGGGTGGTCCAAAAGTATGGTAACACATTCAAAGTGATGTAACTTCTCCGAAAATACTCGAATAGACCTGAAAATTTGACAATAGTTTACTGAATACTTTCTAAAAATGAAATTGTAAAAATTGTTAGATGCGATTGCCTTTGTTTTCCACAAACTCCGTGAGTCTCTTCGGTAACGCATCTACCGTGGCACGGGGGTGTTTTGGGGATAACTTAGCCCATTCTAAGTCCGAACGTCTTTCCAAAGACTTCAAATTGAGTTGTGGACATGCTCGAACTCTTGACTGAAAAATTCCATATACGGAATAGACCAGTAGATTCATATCTGCCGACGTGGCTGGCCGTTTGCAAGTCGTGCTGAATCTTGGAACGTTGGCCATATGGCCTGATGGAACGATTTCGCCTTGCAGACGAGAACAGAATCCTGTTGAATAGTCCAAACATTATTTTTACGATAGAATTTGGTCCACGAAACCGCATACCACTAAAAAATCTCATCCTACTAGTACTCTTAGTCGATTTTCACCCCAAGATCTACAAAAATCGAAATTCGGAGGTTGTTACATCAAAAACAACGTTGTTCTAAGGACAGGTAGCTCTGTTGGTCATGTTACTATGTTCATTAAAAAGCTCAGATCTCGAGAAAAAAAACACGATAGTTTTTTGATAAGAATTTGGTTTCCACCGTAAAGAGTTTCTCGTCGGCGTACACCATCTTCATGTGTTTATTTTGGCGCGTGCCAGCAAATGGAGGTTTGCATTTCTGGAAGCGTACCAGATTGTTATTGCTCAGCAGAATTCCAGTTTTTTGAACACGATAAAAGGTCAGTCTGCAGTCACTTTTTACGATTCAACTGACTGATTTACTGCTCAATCACAGCTCCAGACTCATTGTTTTCATGATTTTCTGGGATTTGGACGAACTCATTTTCTGACGGCCTTGATTCTCTCCGGAGTAACCAAAGTTCAAGTTTTTAAGTTTTTCAGAAGGATCTTGACCGTATTCAACTGATCAAACCATTTGATGGTCGTTCGCACGGTCGTTCGTGAGATTCCGAAAACTTTTCCAATGCTACTTGGCCAACTTCCCTATTGGCTTCATCGACGAGGGTACCTAGGTGCACAGAACTATTCACCATTCGTGCGAAAATCAGCCGAAAGACTTTAAAATTTGGAAATGAGGTGATAAAGACATGCTGAAAATAATAGGTGCAAAATCATTGCCGAAAAATGCTCCAGCGCCCACCAGCTCGCAATAAACTTGTGTTACCATACTTTTGGACCACCCTGTACAAGGTCGGAGCCTTGTCAAAAGTTTATCCGAGTTTGGTTTATACGAGTCTTTGATAGCGAGTCTTATCCTGAATCTGACCAAACTCTGACCAGATGACCCACTATTCTAACTGACCCACTAACGCCGATGACCCACTATTCTAACTTTCGCAGAGCCAAATTTTTTTAGATAGTTATTCAGCAAAACAAATTTTCTAGACAAACGATTCCAGTAGTTATTTTTATTTAAAAAAACTGTATTTAATCACAGTAATAATACGACTCCGATTCTCAAGAGAGAGACGTCAAATATGCAAAAGAGACCAATAATGGTATTCCTCACAAAACTTGCTCTCCAGAGCCAGCCTTGAATTCAACAACTTAATAATCCGCCATCTACGCCAAAACGATGATTAAACTCACAATTCCCATACTTGCCTTTCCCATGAACATCCAGTTTTGTGTGCACTCTTTGCCCTGAATGTCACAAAACTGAGCGCGTCCTGGATCGTATTTTGTGACTTTCAATGGAGTGTGCTCTCCAATGCTTGTTTCTCAAGCTCCGCCCATTTCCATGGATTACAGTCAGCCCGAGTCTAGAACTGGAATATAGAGAAAACTATAAAAGAAGACTTGATGCGATGAGGAAATCATCAAGTCTTCTCTTTTGATCATCATCATGCAGTCCATTTCCCTCATCGCTCTTCTCGTTCTCATCGCCGGAGCTTCAGCTCAATGCTGGGGTGGAAACTGTGGAGGAGGATGTTACGGAAACAACTGTGGATGCAATGGAAACAACTGTGGAGGACAGGTTACGGTACTCAGCATCCCGAATAATAACAACGGATGCTCCTGTAACTCTTGCTACGGAAACGGATGTGCTCCAAGATGCAGCTACTGCCCAAACAACTTTGGATACTCGAACTCTTGCTGCAACAACAATAGTGAGTCTTTTCTCTGAATTTTCAAAAAGAGAATCTGATTTTCAGACTTCTCCTGCTGCGGATACCGTTTCCGTCGTTCCTCTGCCCCAGCCATCGCTTCTGAAACTTCTGAAGGCGTTGTTGACTCGAACTGAACTGAATTTAATACGATGCTTTCTGTTATTGTCTTTGTATATCTGAATGCTCATAAAATAAAATAATTCATTAATTAGAAAAAAAAATTAACATCTTGAAATTTAAAAATATCCTAGAACATTCTAGAAGTAAGAACATTGATTAGACCATTACTTCTTTCCGTAGAAGGTGCGGCAGCAGGAGAAGTCTGGAATGAACCTGATAGTCTTCTAACAACAGAAAGTACTTACTCGTCAAGGTGCAACAGGAGCGTTGAACCGTTTGGACGAAGATCTGAAAGAAGCACTTTTTTTTTTATTACGCAGATTTCAATCTGAATCTTACTGGTGGAGGTGGTGGTGGAGGAAGAAGGAAATACTGAAATCAAATAGAATTATACATTTTTTAAAACATGGCGAACCTTTCTGAAACATGTTACAGTAGTGCATCTACACACTGGCTGCATACATGGTCGTTGAAAAATGATTTTTGTGCAGGACGGACCAAAACAACCAAGAGCAGGAGCACCGAGGAGCAAGAGAATTAGTAGGAATCTAGTGGTCATGGTAGAAAAAACGAAAGTATTCCTTTCAGAAGTTCTCTTTTCAATCTTTTATAATCGGCTGCCTGTTGTTTGTCAATGTTTGTATTAATGGTTGTTTTGGCATTGAGTTGGGATAAGTGAGTGGACAGCTAGTTGATTTTCCAGTTGCGTGTTTAGTACAATTGTAATGATTTTCTGAGAGCATACTCTTCTCAGAGGCATTATTTACAAGTGGACGCACGTAAGTGAAAAGCAGCAGTAATTGAGCAAGTTGGAAGTTGAACTAGAAATATATGACTTTTAGTTGATGAGGAGTTCGGCTGTACATGAGTGGTTGGTTGTATTTTCGAAATTTCCGAAATCGAAGCTTTCCGAAAGCGAAATCGAACAGATCCACAAAATGAATCGAAGAAGGCTTGACATCCAATCTGATCTTCTACACATTGTATTGCTACTTTTCTAACTGTAATAATTAGCAGAAGCTTACCGTATCTTAAGTACCTCATCTTAAGTGGTCCATCAGATTAATAATCTGGAACGAAAACATCGGAGATGTAGAATAGAAACGCCGGTGATCGGTGCCGAAAGTCCAACAAAGACAACTACAGTAACCTAAAAATATTTTTGTTTTCCTGAGGCCGTATGCAAGAAAGTGGAAAACCGTTTTCCGATGTTTGGAAAATGATTTTCTGAAAGTCTGAAAATATTTTTTTCGATTTAAAAATGGGTTCTGGGCTGAAAATGACTAAAAATGCATATAACCACTGTGAAAATTCTCTCCAGCCTGTCAGAAAATCATTTTCCAAACACCGGAAAACGGTTTTACACTTTCTTGCATACGGCCTCTGATTGATTATCTCGGTTTCTCAACTATTTCATTAGTTAAAATGTGTATTTTCCAATTTTTAAGGTAAAAATAACTCGACAAAAATTAGTGAAAAACGAGAAAGTAAATCCTGAAAAAAAATATTGTTAGGTTACGGTAGTTGTCGTTGTGGGACTTTCAGCCACCGCTACCAGCATTACTCTTCCACGCCTAAAAATTTCATAGACAGTCTGCCAACAAAAAACAATGCACAAATCATAAGATTTCGTGATTTACTCTTCCGAACTTCCATGACTTATATTCAATTTTCCGCCCAACTTTTGCCTGATTACCGTAAAGATTACCCTCTCCTTTTTGTAAACATTTTGTTGACATACCTGCAACACTTTTTCAACAAACACAAAAATCTCCGCACCCATAGATCCATCGAAACAACAAGTGCTCCTCAGTTTTTTTCCGTGCGAGACGACGATCAAAAAACAACTGTTGGACTACAAACTGCGGAAATGGCAGGTTCCATGAACTTTCCGTGCAAACAATTATCGGAAAAATCGAAAGTTTCATCGTCATTCTGTGACCGATTCTGTGCTCATTCCGTCCGGATACCGCGCGGAAAGAAATGAATCATCTTATAAGGACTAGAATCACACTTTTATAAATCACAACTGTGTTTTGGTTATTTAATTGAAAAGAGGCGAGGGAAGTAGGCGTGAGGGGTGCTTGTAACCTTCATCTGAAAAACTCAATATTGAGAAAGTTTGATGTTATTGAATGCCGTAAAATCTGTAATAGGAGGGCTTCTAACTCTTAACTTCCAGCCAGTTTTCCTCGGGTACGGTCAAACATATGAAAAAGTTGTCAATTGATAAATAGTAACTTTCCACAAATTTATTCTAACGAAATATATTTCAGGTCAATTCATTTCAGATCAAATAATTGAAAAAAAAGAAGCCCATGGGCTTCAATTCGAGAAATTACGGTAACTACGCCAACCATTTATCTCCCCTCCGTCCCGAAAATCTAACCGATTGCAGCTCTTTTGCACTTTTGATGTTTCCATTTGTTTCGCTGGTCCCCGGGAAATCTCCTCATGTATCTTTTGTGTGTTGATCTCTCTGTTCTTTTAGGCCCTTCCCTCAGGCATTGCCTTTTGCATAGGCATAGGAATAGGAATAGGCATTTAATTTAGGCCTTGCAAAATGATTTTCTTCTCTCCCCCGCAGTTTTCATTACGTTTTACGACATTCCATCGAATCGTAAAGCGTCAAAAAGTCAGCAGCTTATCGCAAAAAGCATGTCTGCATCTTCCTTTTTCTCAGAACAAAGTGCACTTTAAGCCGTTGGTTGTCGTTATCGCGATTTTTGAATGTTGCATATTCAACGAAACTGACGTGTCTCTCTATACTGATAAGAAGCGTATAGAAGTACCCGAGTACCGGGGCGACAAAGAAGAATCGAAAAACCATGTTCGGAGAGAGACGAAAAAAGAAGAAGATGAAAAAGAGAACGCGTCGAAGAGAAAGAAGTTGAATTTCTTTGAAAGCCTTTGATATTTCAGAAGACGTCCCCGATTCTTCATCCTCCGATATCTACGTCTTCTTTGTAATCTTCTTTTCCGTGACGTGGCGACTATCAATCACCTGCACTCTTACTCCTCTCCAATCGGTTTTTCTCAATTCTTCAACAAAAGCTGTGTCTATCTTTTCTTTTTTTCGATACAGAAACAACCTCGGACGACACAACTGCCTATCTCTGCGCTCTCCGTGCATCGAACACTCTCTCTTCGCGCCGCCTCACTGCCTAGTCGACCTATCTCTACATCTCTCTCACCCACACACTCTCTCGCCGTCTGCATAGGCCCGTCAAAATCAATAGGCCTTCGCTGCCTTAGGCCTTCCATTCTCTTTTTCACCTCGTCGCGTCGCGTCTTCGCCTATTTTCAGGCATTTTTCGGTGAAACAACCAAAGTATGTGGCCTCCAGTCGCAGAAGATCATTGCAATTACAGGTATGTTTCGGATAGTTTTCGTATTTTATCGAAATCGTTATCAGAAAACGCTCTTCGAAAAAAAGAGGCCTAAAATTAATTTTTCTGGGAGCTCGAAATGAGAAAAATTTAACCTAAAATCATTTCTATTCATATTTTTCAGTTACCAAGAGCATGCGGCTCTAAACCCACATGATCACTACCATCATCACCATTATCCACATTCATCAGCGCATCACTTGGAATGCTACCAAACTCTTTCTTGCCCATCGGATCTTCCAGTCGAAACTTCCTACTACAACACCATTCCACCAACATATCAAGGTACTTTCTGGATTCCATAAATGGATTACATTGTGGAAGAGAAAACCGTTTGGTCGTGGGGGAAGGTCCCACAACGACAACTACACTAACCTAAAAACATTTCCATTTTCAATATTTATTTTCTTTTTTTTTTACTTATTTTCGTCGATTTTTCTGTTTTTCACAAAACAAGTCCAAAACTTAAATTTTTCGATTGCAAAAAATTAGACCGAAAACGCACAAAAATCGAGAAAAAAACTCTGAAAAAATTTAGGTTACGGTAGTTATCGTTGTGGGACCTGCAACCGGCGTTCCTCTTTCACTTCTTTTGTACCAGCATAATAGAGTCTGTCCCAGCGATTTTTCAGCCACATTTAATCCCTTTTTCTAATACTTATTTTTCAGATCTCGGACAAACGGACTTGAGTCCGCAATTCTGGTGCGCTGAAGTGGATTGCGCTCACGAAAGATGTGCCAAGAAAGATATTCCACACGAGCAATCCAAGATTTTTGAAGAGATCTCAAAGGAGTGTGATCACATTCTGAACAATTCAGAGGAGTGTGACAAGTGCAAAATAATCCAGTACGTTAGTGCTAAAGGTTCCCAAATTATTTCCGAAAGTTTCAGACATGAAGACGGTGCTCAAGAAGCAATTCCAATCAATGATCTCGTGGATATTGTCATGCAAACTGTCGATAATTTGAAGAAGAATGAACCTTCCCAGGGTAACAGTTTGAGGATCATTTATCCGATTTTTTAACTAGATACAGTTTCAGAAGAGACCAAAATGCTTTCTCGTAAACGAGAGCAAAACAAAGTGGCTGCTGCTCGTTATCGTGACAAACAGAAGGCAAAATGGCAGGATCTTCTGGATAAAAGAGAGGTCGAAGAGAAAAGGAACGTTCGTCTCAAGAAGCAAGTTGAGAAGCTCGAGAAGGAAGTTGCTGAAGCAAGACAAGCATTCCTCCAGAAGGTGACCCAAAAATGATTCAACGAACTTCGTCACGTGCCATATAATACTTGTATATCAGTTCAATGTTATGAGATTCAGTTCTGAAATTCCCCATCTTCCCTCTGTCAATCAGTTTTTTTTTTCATTTCCATTCTTTCCCTTCTTGTCCCCTTAAACCCCACACCGATGACAGCCAGTATAATGCTTATTTAGTTCTCCTTTTCTCAATAAATTTTAAAACCGCTTAAAAATGTTGATACTGATTTTCGATTCTCATGGTTATTATTTTTGTACAAGAATCGGAGCTGTAGAAGAGAAACGCCGGTGGTCGTAGTCGAACTACAGTAACCTAATTAATATGTGTTTCGAAAAAAATCTAATAGAAAATCACCCAAGCCGCCAGCTTCGAGCCAAAATAAGTCGATTTCTGTGAAAGATATCTGAAAGTGGTCAACTGACGAAATGTTTATAACAATTTGCAGAATATTTTGTCAGTTGACCACTGTTTGATATCTTATACAGGAATTAAGATTTATGGTCTCATAGTTGACGATTTGGAAAGCCTTATATTAGAGTGTCTACAGTATTTTCCAGATTTCTTATCTCGAATTCTGTATGTCTTCAGTCAAAATGTTCACAATCAAAGAATTTAATGCTCTCACTTGTTCGGTAAAAAACAGAAAAATCGGCGAAAATCAGTAAAAAACTAGAAGTTAAGTCCTGAGAATGGAAATATTTTTAGGTGACTGTAGTTGTCGTTGCGGGGATTTTCGGCCACGGCCACCGGCTTCAAGAAGATTTTTAAAAAAATTCCGGTATTTTCAGGATCCCAAAATTGTATCCAGTCCGAATGTCCAGTCCGAATGAATGAACAAGAAAGGAATGAGTCAGATGTAGCTCCGTAGTGCTCCTCCGGCCCGGCCGTTCAAACTCCTCCTATCGCAAAAAGCGTTCGACTCCACCCGTTCGTTTTCACTGATTATATTTTCCAGAAACTGGAAATTCTATGGGACTATAAAAGCCATTAAAATCCCTTCTCCTATCCAATGTCTATCCAATTCTTCAAATCATCTTTCCTACAATGCAATTCATCACCCACATCGCTCTTCTCGTTCTCATCGTCGGAGCTTCAACTCAATGCTGGGGTGGAAACTGTGGGGGAGGATGTTACGGAAACAACTGCGGACCAAAGGTTACTGTAGTTAGTGTTCCAAATAACAACGGATGCTCCTGCAACCCATGCTTTGGAAATGGATGTGCTCCAAGATGCAACTACTGTCCAGGAAGTTACGGATACTCTTCCTGCTGCAACAATAATAGTAAGTTAAAAAATAAATACGGAGCTATAATTTAATGTGTTTTAGATTTCTCTTGCTGCGGATTCCGATTCCGTCGTGCTGTTGAGTCTGCTAAGGAAGCTTCTGATGCTGTCGAGACTTCAGTTTGAGTTCGACCCGAAAACTTTGTTAAAATTTTTGTATATTTGAGATACTGGTTTAATAAAATAGTTTATTCTTTTTCACATTTTTTGAGTGTTATATGCATAATTGATTCGAAATCCGAATGTTTTCCCATGGCTTCCCTTTATCATGAAACCTGTAACAGAAGGACCTCTTAACTTTTAACTTTCAGATCAATTATCTCGATTCCTGTGAAAGATATCAAGAAGATGTCAACTGATTAATTTTTATCATAATATCAGAAGTGTTTTGTCAGTGGACACGTTTTTGATATCTTGCATAGGAATTGAGACAATTGAGCTCAAACGTGGCAGTGCGGGGGAATTTCTATCACAGGTTTTACGGTATATGGTCCTCATAGGAACTGAAATATTCGCTTTAAAAAATTTACTTTATTTCCACCAACTTGTGATCCCAATTTAGAACAAAGATTTCTAAAATGAGTCATTCTTCAAACCACCGCCAAGCACTCTTCGTTCGAAATGGTTACTTCTGTTGGTATTTACTCAGCTTGTATCCCTCTTCCACCCATGCAATTTTTCATTATATCTACACCTCATTTCCCCAAAAAACCTTCCATTTTCAAACCATGTCCCTTAAACTTGCCTTTTTCGTCGGTCTAGTTGGTTTGGCCGCGTGCCAAAACGCTACTCGAGCTCCTGGATCTTACTGTAAAGGACAATCAAGAAGCGGTACGTATTCTATTTCAATTTGGAAATTAAGTAAGACTTCCAGAATGTTTCATGGGCTCATGCCCCAGCGGTTTCGAATGTATCGGAAATCAGTGTTGCTCGGAAGCGGATGTTGTTCAACCAGGAGGCGATTGTACTGACTACTTGAGTGACTGCTCAAATGTTGAATGCAATTCAATTGGAATGCAAGACTTTGCACGAGCCAATTGCGCAAGAACTTGCAATATGTGCTACAGTTCAGCCTCTGTCAGTCCACGTAAGCGTAGCTTCAGTAGACACCAAATTCAGATGGAATTCCAGAATACGCTTGCACCGACCTTCTGACTGACTGTGCCAACCGCATGTCTTCATGCCAAGACATCGACTTTGTTGACATGATGGCTCTATACTGTCCGCGTACTTGCAATCTCTGCCTCTGGCAGGCAGCCACAAAGATCCCAAACTGTGGAAACCAACTTCCAGAGTAATTAATTTATTCAGATTTCCAGCTGTTCAATGTCTCAATTTCAGTTGCGCGACTCGTGGAAACTTCTGCTCTGCAACCAGCGTTTCTCTGTATCAGAAACGTGTTGGATGCGGAAACACTTGTGGTTTGTGCTCTTCGGCGCCAAGCACACCAGCCACTGTTCAACTGTCAACAAATAGCAATGGGTTCCTCTTTTTTGGACGCAAATGACACAAAAACTATAACGAAATAAATGAACTTGTTAAAGCATAGCATATTTATTTCTAATCGTTGTCTTTTTAATCGACTCATAGATCTGAACATATTTTTCAACCCGGATGGATAAATAAGATAATTGGCAACTGGGAACACTAAAAAAGAATAAGTTGCATCAATTGTACAGATAAATACAGAAAACAAAAGAGTTTAGGGAGATCAAACCATCTCAGGGTAAATGTTTTTAGAATTTAGAGGAGTCTTCTCTGCTGACAATGGATGCGGAAGTCCGAGTTTTGAAGGCGTTAACTTCTTCATTGACGCATTCAGAGAGTTTCCTCCATGAACCGAAAGTGTAGCTTTTGCATTCCGTTTCTCCTCTTTCTTCATTAAACGAAGACGAAGACGTTTTTCGATCCATCTGAAATTTAAAAATTAAGTTCATGCTTTCGAAATTTTAAAGATCTATTTACCGTTTCTTTCCAAAGTAGGCCAATGAGTTTGTAGCAGTGTTCAAGACGATTCCAAAGTCAGATACTCTCACCATTATGCTCATTACAGTACCCCATCCGTCGATTCCATATAGATTTTCATAGACGTCAAAAAAGATTGGCATGGTCCTGAAAATTTGAAATTTAGGATGAAGTCATTTTCAGATTTTTCGCCTCACCTGAAGATGAGAAATTTCACAGCGATGAAAACGGCTACAGTTCTAGAAACACGCTCTTTTAATTCCTCGCTTAGAACCACGGAACGACTTCTTTGTTGACTCTCAAACAACTTTCTTCTTGCCTTTAAGCTCATATGAACTTTGTATTCTGTCAGAATTGAGAGAACCAAAATGATAGACACCGGGCCGATGGTTTGGGTTAGCGTCATAAGAACAGCCTTGTATTTTGCAAACTGAAAAAAATAAAATACTAGATATCAAGTTTTAATATTCTCCTACTGATGATCGGAAAACTGTTGCTTCTGGGTTTGTCGCCTCGGCATTATGTTCAACATCGAAACATTTAGTGGTTGTGAACTCGAAGAAGATTGGAATGTTCACTGAGAAGCTGAGCAGAATGAACAAAACTGAAAAACGTTATAATTAGTTCTCTGACGTCAAGGTGTCTCATGTCTTACAAGGTGTATAGAAAGGACGAATCATTTCGCGCAAATTATAGTGTCTCTTGATCGATGAACTATTGAATGTGCCGCGGGAGAATGTTGTGTTAGTGGTTACCGAATCTTCGAGCTGTGCTGCTGATCCTTTTCTGACTGCCTTACTTCCAGTTCTTCTATGGTTTGATGCCATACTCGTGCAAATCGGAGAGGTCGTACAACAACCATGAACCGGAGGAAAGTGATGTAGATAACCAGTGCTGTCTGAAATACACCCATAATTGAGGATCGAGAATCACATGTGTATACAAACCGAGGCGGTGGTCAACGAGCTCGCGATTCCATGTAAATTATAGGTAAAGTCTTGTTTATCGTACATTATATTTGTCCGAAAGAACAACACCGACATTGCCTCGATTCCATAGAAGAGGAAGACGGTGAGCAGGAGAAGGGAATCGATTGCACACAAGGCGAACAACGCTGAAAATTTAGGAATATACAGGTGATAGGAACTTCAGATTTTATGGAACCAGGTCTAGACAAAAATCTGATTCATACCTGCAGTAAGTTCTTTGTTGAGACCCGCACGGCACAGGAATTTAATTGCGTATCGGGCTCCGATCATGGACAACAATGCGGCTAAACATGTACACGGACCCTGGAAAAGGATTATAACTGAAACCATAAGATATTATAGTCCGAAATGGTTACGAAATCAAATCAAAACAATTCTAAAAAGTTTTCATTTGAACTTACATCAATCAGAAGTGCATACGCTGAGATGGTATCTTTCTCGGGTGGAAATGGATAACGATAAGTGCAATTTGGCATACCACCTTCATAATCTGTCTCCATGACTGCCCTGAAAACAAGAAACTGAAATGAGCCAGAATATTTGTTTAGAGGTGAATTGCAAGAGTAGAAGAAGGCGAAGAGAGCTTTCCCCTCCTTCTTCTGCTTGCTTCTACCATTAATCACTGGCTAGATGGTCGGTAATTTGGGCTCGCGCGAGCCACTGCACGTAGCGACAACTGAGCGCGTGATGGAGATGGAGTGGTTTTTAGAAAAGTGGATATGAAAAAGGAGCAGATAAGGACAGGTGATTATTTTTAAGAAACCAGTAGAAGTCTTGATTTCGTGCATTTAAACAAAGCGGAAATTTTTAGATGAGGGATATGTCAATAAAGGAATCCCTTTGATACTCTAGACTGACAACTGAACTTTTAGAGATCCCACAAAAAATTTCAACAATGTTCATTGAAGAATTTTCTAGATAACTATAAAACCTTTGAATTGGACACTAAACTGAACTTGAAAACTGCCCTATAACGGGCCTAAAACGGACCCTGCCATAGTTTATTTTAAAATCAATATTTTCTGACCAACTGAATGAGAAAACATAGAAATTCAAGAGTACTAAAAATGATGCTATTTTTTTGGCTTTTGGTAACTTCGTTCATAGACAAGGTATAGGTTTTCAAACAGAATCATTTTGTAGTATTTTTTGAGTTTTACCATATCTAATTTAGTTGATCAAAAAACAACTATCCTAAAAGAAGCTATTACATGTCCCGTTTTCCAAGTGTGCACTAAACTACACAAAGTATCAATGGACCAAAAATTTTATAAATATCTGGGTGCCCCCCCCCCCTTTTATTCTCTCTCTGTGCAAAATCCTTATTGTGTTTTGCGCAAGAGGTCCCACCCATTTCAATGAATTTCAAAAACTGACAAATCACATGAAAATGAAGAAGAAAAGAACGCAAAAAAAAGCACAAGAAATTTCTGAAATAAATAGTGGGAACTAGTTGTTGTGTTGTGTACAAAACACACCAGCAAAAAAAGGGATTCTGGTAGGTGGTTATGTGTTTAGCAGTTTGCAGTTTGTGGCATCTAGATTCAATGAGAACCGGACCATGGAAATGTTTCTGAATCAAACTACAGAAAGGAATCAAAAGATCCATAGGTCTCTGAAACTGGCCTTGTTGAATTTGACGAATCCCTAAAACTGAAACTGAAACTTTATTGAACTCTTATCGAGTCTACAGGATTAAGATTAGAATAAGGAATTCAAAAAATATCTTCCCTATCAGAAAAAAAAATTCCAAAACCAAAGAATCATAAAGTTCCAAAAATCAAATAGTATATCTGGAAAACTTTACTCTTCTCTCTTACTCATTTCAAATTCCCGAAAAATGAGTACAGAAAGCGTCAGAGAAAGAATTTCAAAGCAGAAAGTCATCTGAAACCCAAGAAGAATTGGTTTTTGCAAAGATTGAAATGTCGCAGATGTTTTTTTTCAATGATTTCAATTAGGAAATTGGAAAACTGAAGAAAAATCAGAAACATCAACAAAGATCAGTTGAAATCTTGAGATCCGGGATTACAGTGAAAAAGTATGCTTTAAGAATTTTGAGAAGATTATCTGACTTTTTTTTTGCAGAGGCGACGAGAAATCATTTGTCTTAGTCGTCCAATCAGTTCGTCTGGTTTGGAATAAATTTTTAAAAAACTTTAATTTTTTAAAAAATTTTCCAGAACCATCTTTTTGGATTAACTTGTTGAAATCAATCAAATGCACGGTTTCAAGATTGAATTAAAAAAAAACGACTTATCGGAATTTAGTTCATATAAACCCCTCGAGGAGTTGAACTTGTGGGAGGAGTATTCAAAGTCCGGCGCTACTACCGACTGAGCCGCGCGGGCGAAGCTAGTGCGGGCCCCTGATGGAATACTTGAAAGCGGGTACGATAGAAAACAGAATGGAAACCTTAACTAAAAAAAAATACGCAAAATCTTCTGTCCTCCCTCATTTAGTATTCCAGAATCTAACTCAAAATCTGATTCAGAAGAAGCGAAAAATTCGAAATGAACGGTTCAGAAGTTTTAAGAAATGATTTAGTTCCAATGAAACCCATTGGACCAAAAAGCATGTTTGCCGACTAGATGCACATGGATGAGAAAAAATCAGAGAACTGCTAAATTGATATGTGATAACGGAAGTAAGTGTGAGCAATGATAAGAAGAAATGAAGATGAGATTTCATCTTTCTCGAAAAACGGAAATGTTGAGCTAGACATCATGGAGATAGCTAATGAATTATGAATGTGACTTACTATTGCCCCTACTACCACCTTCTACCACTTTCCAAGAATCTCGAATTTTCGGTAGTCGAGGCAACCGAAAAAGAGGAAAAAGAAGGAAACGAGAAGAAGATGGTGACGTTGGACTTCTAATTGAAGGTGTTAGGATCAGTTCAATTCAGAGAAGGGACTGCCAAAAGTACAATAAATTGCAACAGACACCAGAAAATAGTCGTTCTGACCAAAGAAGAAATGAAAAATAGAAATATAATCTTACCGGAAGAAGAATATGAGATGACGGGTTCTCATGAAGAACAAAAGATGGATTTAGGAAAGGAAGGTTAGGTAAAAATAAGAGGAACGACTTCTAAGGAATTTAATTTTACTTGCGTGACGATGGCAAAGCTAGCTTTGGGCTTTGCATGTCTGAAAGAGATAAAAACGAAGCTTTTGGATACTGGAAATCAGAAATTTTGAAGTTTTAATAAATGTTTTGTTGACAGGTATACCGGGAGACCAGGAAGCAGAGTTTAAAGTTCTTAGAAACATCATTCTCTGGAAATTCAGATTTGCAAGAATTCTCTGAAGACAAATCAAAATTTGTCAACCAAACACATGATAAAGCTCATCATAGACTCGGTTCATTGATTTCTTATGCCTACACTAACACATCAAAACGTGTAGAGAGCAAGGACGTGGATAATTGATAAGAATCAGACTAGAATCTGTCTCCTCCCACCTCCTCTGACCTTTCCGAAGGTACTGGATTTCAAAAGAATAGAAAAAGGGAAGAAGAAGATGTCAGAATTAAGGAAAAGAAAAAAAAACAGGAAGAAGAAGAGAAGACAGGTCAGATTTCGAGAAGGAACTCTTTGTATACTTTCTCAAACTGAAAATGACGAAGAACGCGAAACTAAATGAGAAAGGAGGCCGCTTCTGCTTCCAAAAATCGTAAACATGCTTGAATTACTGAAAACTTTCCAATCCCGTTCTTCTATTTTTTTTGAAGAACTCAATCCAATTTCAAAGCGAAGAAACGAGACACAAAAAGGGAAATTGATCCGTTTTCCGTTTCGAAAGGACATGGTCCGCTAAGAAAAGAGGGTTGAAACTAAAAACAACACTTGATTATAAAGATGGTTAGACTTTGGAATTTAGAATTCCATTTTCTAAATCAAACATCTAAGAGAGTTTCATCAACGTAATGACACTTTGGATATGAAAATGTCTCAGAAAATATGTACTTCCTTCCGGTAGGAAAAAAGAGAATCACTTGGGACCAAGAGCCCCGTCTGGTTCCAGAAATGAGAAGAAAAGAAAAACGAAGAGGCTTACGAGGAGGTGCAAGAGATGGTTCTAATATGACTATTGGTCTTTTCTCTCGAGGACTGAGTCATTAGTTCTCTGACAAAAGTTTCTGGTGAACCCTTGGTCCAAGACTCCTAAAATAATGTTCTTGTGAAGTTCTTGGAAACAGAAAAAATGTGATGAAGATCATGATCACACTGGGATTATCGTACATTATGGGATTAGCTGTTTTGCTAAATTTAGGAAATACGACATTATTTTTTGGAGAAATTTATATTTGCTGGTGGCAAAACAGGGTTATGTCAAAAGTTGTGGTCAGTTGAAAAAAATTGATTTAATAAATATTGCAAAAATTGGAGATTATAGAAATTTCATAAATATAGGCTTTTAAGCAAATTAGCTCTGTTAAAATATTATGTACTTTCACAGGAGTCTCTATACAAAAGCCTTCAGATACGGATTTACCGTAATACATGTAATAGAAAGTCACTATCTGAATTACTGTCAAAGATATAAAAAGTTGTCAATTGATAAATTGTTTTCCATAATGTAAAAAGTGTTTCTCCAGTTGTTAACGTTTTGATATATCTTATAGGTGTTGAGATAATTGAGCTCAAACTTGACAGTGTGGGGACCCTACTACCAGAAATTTTACGGTATATGGTTATTGCTCTGATAAATGAAATATTTTTGACATCCTGCATAGGAACCGATAAATAAGCTCAAAGATAGGGTGGCCTTCCATTAGAGCGTTTACCGTTGGCGTCTAGAGAGATCAAGTGAAATGATTTCTAGAATGTTTTAAAAATAAAACTTGAAAGAAACCCAAAAAATATATGTCTAAAATCAACCAGTAAAAAAGAAGAAAATGGATCAGAAGAGCAGATTCTGTTTTTTCTCCAAGAAATTAATTCAGCCAGAACGCCTCACCCAAGCATCTAATGAATCAAGATTGGAGTTTGATGCTGGAAATAAGAGATACTCAAAGTAAGGAAAGATATTTTAAGTTTCTTGATTTCTACAAAAAACGAGAATTAGGAATCTCATCAGTAATCTCAAAAAAAATATTCAAAAAAGGAAAAGAAGATTCAAGTGTTTTTCGAAAAGAAAAAGATCATGTCATTGAATGTCAGAAGATGAAGTCTGATTTGATGCATGATTTCAAGAAACTATCGTATTCATGTGCATGCGAAAAGTGTGGAAAAAACGTAGAAGAAGCCATTTTTCAAACGTTTCGTCAAATGCTTTTGACCACTCAATATGCAGATTTTTTCAACCAGACGAACCTTATCGGTAGTCTTCCTCCGTATTTTTTTTTGCGAAGAGAAGCGATAAAAGACTTTTAAAATCAGGAAGAAATTGAGATCAAAGTATGGATTCATTCGGAACTTTGGTGAGAGGAGAAAATTGAGAAGAAGGTTTTTAAAAAGAAGTGCAGGTCTAAAAATTCTAAAAATCATAGAG